TTTTTTTTCATTCATCAAGGTTTTTAATTTTCGAAACTCTAACACTTCTCTTTGTCTACTAGGTTGTAGTTTTTTTTTACATCATTATTTATTTCTCGACTCGAGCAAAGGAAAAAAAACATTTGTCTGCTCGTCTCTACATCTATTTATTTGGATTGTACACATTGTCAATAATATCAACGCGAACTCGATAAGTACGTTATAAATAGTAAGTGAGTGAGTAATTCAGTAGTATGTGATAAAACGACGTAACTTAATTTAACGTTCTTCTTTTTTTTTCTTCTGTTGTAATTGTACATTTTCTCTTTTTTTGGCATTAATAATAAAACTAGCTCTCTGCACAATATATATATATATATATATATATGTCGTCGTTTTTTACAGTTAAATTCAAGGCTATATTCTAATTCTATTATGAAAAAGGTAAAAGACAGAAATTATCTTCATTTTATTTTCTCTTCCAAAGAACATAAATGGCGACAACTTGAAAAAAACTTACTTTTTTTTTTGAATAAAATGAAGAAAAGAAAGAAAAAAAATTGATGGGAATGTGACCTTGATTTAAACAAAAAAAAAAAGAAGCATGTTCTCTCGCTTTCCACTTCTTTACCAGTTTTTGATCATAATTAAAATTATGATAAAACAATCATCATTTCCCGTGTAGTTAAATAATATCATTCGAATGACTCATCCAACAGTTAAAGACGAAGAATTTAAATTGAAAAAAAAATTGTATAAGATCGAGATTGCAAGGTTATTGTTTAAATAAACAAGTTTTTATTATTTTAGAACTGAGAAAGAATAGAACGAGTGTATGTGTGTATCGAAGGATACATATACACACCGCGTAGACAATGTTCATAATATATAACGAGGGTATATTTCAAAAAGAAAATGCTAACAACTCAATTATGTCAAGCGGAAAAAAAAGAGGAAAAAAATCTTTTCCTCTTTTTTTTTTTCCTCTAAAACTCGTCGGTAATTTGAATATTTTGTTTGAGATATAGAGACTCTTGTTTAGCATATAAATTGTATATATTTTTTTCTGTTAGCAGTAAGCATAAATTTTATTTTTTTGTCTTTCTCTTTGATTTTTTTTTCGTATATTGATGACATATTTAAACCATGAGCAAGCGACAATGCCTGTCATATAAAAATAACAAAAATGTTTTTCGGAGAAGGAAATAAAGTGACGTTACATAGAAAAAATACGCATTAATTATCAAAATGTGATGTGTGCACGTGTTGTTGTTTCTAGTTTTTTGCAGATAAACACCTTTTTCTGTAGAATTTGTTTTAACTAGAGGAATAGCAAAAAAAAAAATTTACTGACGACTCTTCTTTATCCTTGCAACTGTTTCCATTGAGAAGCCCATTAAACTTTTCAAGAAAAAAAAGAGAACAAGATTCTCTATCTTTTTTTCTTTAGACGCAACATTTTCATAAACGCTTGTTAAGAGGAACCACTTGATAGTTTATTTCTTTTTCTACTTTTAGTATAAAATCATTAAATCATATTAATATGGTCACATCAAATTTAAATGATCGACGACAGCAATCACTGTCACCAATTATTAATGACAAAGGAGAAGATAATGACGTACGAATACTTCACAGATTTTTAGTGAGTCATGGTCTATTTGTTTAAATGATATTCTAATCTAAGAAATAACTTTTATATTCAATTTTTAGGATCGTCTATATCTTGGTGCAGGTAACGATCATCCTCAACGTGTCTCCTCTCCGATATCTTCATCAATTATTACAGACATGACCACGATACCTGTATATCGTAATGGTAGAAAGTTTTATGTAACTGCTGAAGAATATGAACGTATGAAAGCACATGAACGAAAACAACGACGTACTGCATTACAAAAATCGAATAATTTACCAGTACAAAAATCTTATAGTTCAAATCATACACGCTCAAGAGTGGGAGGAGGAGTTGATCATCATCATCCCATAATTGGCGTTCAACGAGCTACATCTCACGCGATTAATGGAACAATGGATCAAACCTTCGGATTTTCAACTAATAACCATAATTCAGCGACAATTCTAACTCCAATTACGATGAGAAAAACGGTGGCATCTTCTACACAATTAACATCGCCTCATTTAACAAGACAATCTCGATCAACATCGAGAAGTGATGAACAAAGATCATACTCCCCTGCAAACGTACGATCACATTCTTCTGATAAAATATCAGTAAATCGTGCTCATATATCATCTCCATTACGAACATCGTTCGATGATGATCCAAAGACAATTGTTACAAGAACATTTTCGCCAGTACCCGTCATACATACTCATAATCGCTCGAACACGTCCGATTCACATCGAATGACATTGAATAATAATACTAATAATAACAGATTAGTAAATTATATTCCACACGATTTTAATCAACATTCTCATAACTTTGATAATAATCAATATCAAGAAAATATTGATCCACAACGTAATGATAGTTTAAAACGATCAATGTCAGCTGAGTTAGTGATTCCATCTACTAATCAATATGGTATTTCATCAATTAATACGCTTTCCATGACGCCATTAGATAAACAATCGATAATTACCGATCAAGTTTTTATCCCTACAAATTCAAAATTATCAAATAAAAATCAAACTCCAAAAAGTTTTGTTGGTAGTAGTTTTGATACAGAATCAAAATTTGACCAAAAACAACCTGTGGTATCTAAAAGTTCTAATATTGGTTCGATGTATCAGACGGGTGTTCGTGAAGCCGATCATCTGTACAGTATGCTAGGTCCACTTAGACGATCTAATGATGCAACATCACCTGATCGTAATTTTAATACAAACAACCGAGATATAACCGGATTATTAAACGATCGTTTCATATCTTATTCAGATGATAACTCATCTATTATTAAACGAGATGATGATAATAACATACAGAAAACATTTTTGTCCAACGGAGATGGAAGACATTTAAGTCGTGAACGACGTACTCAGCCACGTTCAACAGTAAGAAGTCATTCAAGTGATGGTCTAACTAAAAAAAAGCGTGTACGATTTGCCGATATGGTTGGATTAAATCTAGAGACGGTTGATCGTGTTTCACGTCGAAGTAGTGGAGCGAGTAGTGATGGTGAACAACAATCATATCAAGCTAATTTTAAACAACAACAACAACTGCAACAACATTACACACGTTTACTATCAAGAAGACCACCTGTAGTTGTTAACGACAGAACAAAAGTATTACAATTTCAACGTCCAACAATAACAAACGATAATTTTCAAACATACAAAATATCAAAAAATAATGCCGGTTCATTGGTGACCGATGTTTAAGGTTTTAATAAATTTTCTTTTATCAATGTCAGTTAATCTTCTAGTTTGTGTGCATGTGTGTTAAAAACAGTTCGTATATTTTTTATAAAAATTATTTAAGTTTTTGAAACGAGAGATAAATGAAGTTAACATGCTTTATTTGTTCTGACTTATTAGGGAAATCTCTATGATATCTAGTGGTAGATTAATCAGAAAATCGGACACAACTAAGAGAAATGGACTGAATGACGAGAAGTGGTACAACAAGAATATTTTTATGTATTGTTGGCGTAGATTATCCCTTATCTCTAACACAATATTTTTTATTAATCATCATCTACAAGTTATGTAATACGCTAAAATTTAATTCTTTCATTTGTATAGCAACACATATAATTACTATTATTCAATCAAAGATGTTTTAACCTTGAATAACAATTTTCAGTTTCAAGGAGAGAAGAAAAAAGAACGGTTCATGACAGGTTAGACATAACTGCAGCTGTATATATAGTAAAAAAAACTGTTCTTTCTTACTTTTTTTCCATCATATATAACTTATTAAAATAATGATACGCTGACAAATGAAAAACTGTAAAACAATTTTATATTTAAATATGTTATCTATCAGAATAGAAAATCAATGAATAGTTTTTTGCCCTCTAATATATCTAAATATGTGAGGTACACACAATACAAAAATCGAGCAGAATTTTTTTCTGAATTTATTGTATACCGTTAGATAGAGTTTTTCGAGCTGATCAAGAATATGCAATTTTTAACTTTTCGAAACGTTTTTCATGTCGAAAAAACGAGAAAACTCGAACGATCTCAAAATTCGAAAATAAACGATGATGTTCAAAAAAGTTAGATTTTTAAATTTGGGTTTTTGGCTGGAACGTTCAAATTATTTTTTTCTTATTTAGCGTTGAAAACTGAGTTAAAAAATAATATTAGATTCATTT